GCAAGAAAAACAAATATTTTATACTATATTATATAATATATTATATTTCAATAATAATCACTGTTCAGAGTTAACAACATTTTGATTGCAAGTTTGCATTTATTTACTATTTATCATCTATCTATATATATTCAGATATTTTCTGACTGAAAGACTGATYAATGTAGAGCCAAAACGATGATAGATAAACTTAACAGTTACAAGGTAGGTAATAAGTAGTAGGTGATAAAATGGTATACTCGAAACCGCAAAAAAAATATACAATAAAAAGTGTATAATGAGCAGTACGCTAATGATTGGTGAAAACAAAAACAAACGAATATAATATCATAACAATTCCAGAAGAAATTAAAATTCCCAAGTCTAGAGCTCCAATACCAAGATTTAATATTGAAGAAATACATTCTAAAAGATATTCAAGATTTACAATTTAATTTTATAATTCTATTCAAAATATTTATATTATTATTTTTAGTTTTTAGAAAAATAAATATATTTATACATATATTCATCTTTATAAAAGTATATATTTATGTGAAGTATTGGAATAATATTACCTTATTACCTATTCCAATTTCTAGTATCATACTTAATATAGGTAATAAAAATTAATTATGTACATTTAAATTTAGTAAAACGACAAAACATACACAAACATTCATTAAAACCCACAGACTTATGATAGTTGTCTCAATTTTTAATTTTTGTTGAATATAACAAAAATTATAAAGAAATAATCTAGACCGTGTCGGAGATTCCTGTATAAAASTATACGCCACCGCCGCGCTGTGTGACCTAGTGAAATCTATCTCTCTTAGACTCTAACGCCTTAAAGAATCAAAGTATACAAATTTTAATACCACCGTTAGTTATAGTAATTAATTATATTCTATTAATTGAACCAGTCGTTTTTATTTTGTTTTGTGGTCATTTAATTTTAGATCTCATTTTTTCTAATAAAAATAATTAATTTATTCACACATTTTAGAATTTAAATTATGAATAATAATATAGTATAATATAATATATAATACTATGAACTTCCTTACAACTGACATACAATAATGTTTATTATTGTTTAAGTTTAAATAAAAGTCTAACATTTATTAAGAATTCAACAAAAATGTATGTTATAAAAAAATGTATTTTTATTACAAAATATTTGTGTCACGCCCCGAAAGAAAAATTTAATATTTTTAAATTTTGTTAGTATGGTTCTAGGACCACAACACCATGTCTCACTGACTACCAGTGATCCGCAGTCTATTGGTTGGGAACCTCTAATTTAACTCTTTTATATTTAATTTTAGAGTATATTGACCTATTGACAAATTTAGAATTAATATTATCTTATCAATTGCACACATTATTTTTATATTTTAATTTTAAAGTGAGATATGAGCATTTTAAATTAGTTGATTGTTCTTCATAAGTAAAATTCTAATTTATACCTAATTACCATACTTCAGATGCAGTGGTGTGGCGA